CTAAGGGTACTTGTCTAGAGACTGCATAGTTTAGTGACCTTCTTTCCAAAGATGGTTTTGATGTTTTTTCAGCAGCGTGCCGTTAGATAATGAGAATTTGAATTATGAATTTCATAGAACCTCGTGACACCCCCGTGCGTCGTTCCCTGCACACGATCAAGGATGACACTGGTCTATCTGTGACATTCATCTGGCCAATGACATATACAGGATAATATGATAATGGATTTATAGGAAAATTTGTTCTCGGCATTACTAGGAGGAACAAAACCGCTGAAAGAGGATTTTGAACGATTCCATACACCTGCGTGGAGGCGATCTTGAGGATCAAAGAGGCACATAGCATAAAAGCCAGGATTACATAGGTTCCATTCAACTACCTGCCGTAAAGTTGATGTATTTAATCAATTAAGCAATAATATGTAATACTTGAGTTACATCGAATAGGCCACAACTGGCCGAGAACTAAAATACCAGAAATGGTCATCTACAAGCGTATACCCTAATGTAGACCTACTCGGGTTGGTTAACCAAAGTGTAAACCCAGAACGGAAGCTCCTTCAAATTATCATATGTTTTGAAAATCTGCTGGAACCATCCTAAATTAACTCGCGGATCGTACCACGTTTTGAAAGGTTTCGTAACCACTATAACAGAATACATTCCATCCATCCGTTTCATGTTGAGAAGCTGAGTTCAATATCTGACTTCCTCGTTCACAGAGTGCTTAAGTAAACTAAGAGTAAGTTGTTTGCAAATGCTTGATGCTAAGCTGAGCTTTCTTTTACCACTATTTTCGTCTTGCGTTTGTCTTCTACGTTGAACAGCTTGAGAAAGACGATAAAGCATATAAACTCAACTTCTTCTTAAGAGTTTTGCCTGACTTGTTAACGCGCTATTCAGAATTGATATATCACGATTATGACAACCATGTTTACTGCATTACTAGCACGGCTGTAATGAGATATTCAATTATTATATGGAATTGATTATACTGGAAAACTCATGATATTCCCTGCACACGTCATACTTACCTCGAATAGAAGCGAGGCAAGCCGATTCATACCAGAGATCTAATGTACTGAGGCGATCGGTTGTACCATTTCTGCTGGAATGCATTTAAAGTCGATGATAGAAGAAAATGACATGCTTCTGCAGCAGACGAATAAGATATAAAGCCATTATCTGGAGTTCTGTTTTATCGAGATCTGGTAACATATAGTAAATGCAGTCAAAATCTTGGTAAGTTATCCGGTACTCCTTGCAAAAGTCGAGAAACAAACTGAATTGAACTGAATACCCTTTTTAATTTCGTCTTTTGGCCTTCTGCTTTCTATCATTGACTGATATCACGTGTTTCAAGTAAATGGATGTGGGTTACTCCGCTTTCATTCGAGGCTTTAACGACTTCATTTACAATCGAGGATTGTAATTTTCTAAATTTTTTCTCTCGCCCCATTGTGCCGAAGGCCGGGTGTGGCAAAGTGTGTTCTTCCTACGGTGTTCATTCTTCAGCCACATTGATGCCATCTCACTACTAGCGAGATTTTTCCATCTTATTGAAGAAGTTCTTTTGCGGCCACCTGTCATTTGGCCTTGTGTCCAATACTCATTTCTCAAAACCGCAGTCGCTCATTCGTTGTCCATGGCCCCATCATCTTAAACGCATCGTTTGCCGCCACTCTGTCACTTTAGTTGGACATGCTAATCTCTCTCTCTTGCAACGTTATTTGACTCAAGGTCACACGACTTCACTCACGGTATGGATCTTAAAATCTTTTTTATGACCTGGTAATCGCTGTCCGGAAGCCGCACGCAGACAATGCAATGCCAATATAGCACTTCAGAAAAGGCCCCACGAGAACGACAACGCCAGTGGGAGCTTATCATCTCAAATCGGAATATATCCTCAATTAAACGAAAAGTGCATGAGTTAATTATAGACGCCGTAAGGTAATAACTCGATATAGTTGGACTCTCGTCAACGAAGCACCAAGGCTCTGGAATCCCGAACCACTAGGGTGGAAGCTATTCTACTCCGGTATCGATATCACGACACCCGCTAAGGCCGGTGTTCATGACCTGGTCGAACACAACCACGCAACCACGTGATAGAATCATCGAATGGAGACCACTCAGCGGAAGAGTGGCGTTCCTCAGACTGAAGCTGTAACAGGCTAAAGCGTTCACCTTGTTATAGGTCTATCCGCCCGGTTTAGAGGGAGAATATGATTCCTTCCTACGGGAAGTGCATCGTGCTCTGTACGAAATCCCTCATACTCATGCGCTCTCGGAGTAAATGCTGAAAAGTGGAACGGCGTGATTGGGAAAAACGGCCCTAGCGACGTCAATAATAACGGCATGAAGTTGTTG